CCGTAATTCGTTGGAGGGCTGTCCTACCCTGAATTACGTTACGAGCAACCATGCGGACCAGGATAGGCAGGACTCTGTCCGCTAAGCCTCCTTCGCTCACATTGTAGAAACCTCGGTCTCCATTGTACAGGATGGGTTGGCCCTGTTCCTAACTCCAGGTCTCCAGACTTTCCACCCACAGAGGCGTCGGGCCTTGAAAAGCCGGACGTGGGTTTGGATTTGGGTTTGGAGCCACTAGTGGTAGGTCATTGACTTCTGGCTCAGAGTCAGAATCCTCCGGGAAGTTCTCAGCAAAGTCATTGTCCAGTGGAATTGCAGGTTCCTCTTCGGGCTCAACATCGAGCCATCCTCCGTCGCCTTGGTTGGGAAAGTACGGGTCTCCGGGGATATGGAATCTAGCCATGTTATCTACACGAGAATAGGGGTAAAAGAAATAATTAATAGACGTACTAATTAAGATAATTATAAGATGATCCTTACCAGTTACTTCAACATTTGCATAGTGCATACCAGTCATATGTAACCAAAACAGGATAGACCTTCGAATAAGTGACCCTAACTCTAAGCCCACAACCAAACAAGGAACAGGAAGTAAAGCAAAGATCACAGATTCTAAGTCTATAACACCCTAGTCACATATAACCTTAGAGTATCCATTCAGCAACTATAGACATACTAATAAAGATCTTTTTAGTTTGCACATAAGTAATTATAGTAACACAAAATACTCCTATAGTATTTTAAGTTTATGTGTTGTTCTAATGTTTTCATTGTAGTAGTGTTGGTAGTTTTTAGACTTGTTGCAACGCCACAACCATTCCTAGGCACATGCAATCACTTCTCGGAAAGATATAGTTGATCAGGCTATATCACTCCCAGATCTGATTATATGTCCCCAAGCCTACTTGTGTTGTCCAACAATCGTAATACTTTTGTTCTGTCCTAGTGACACTGATTTTAGTATGAATGCATGTAAGTATACTTTGGTTAAATATTTTATTATTTAAAAGTATAAACTCTTGGTCAGAGTATTTTAATCCCGTTGTGTTTATAGTTGTATATCTTTTATGGGTTGATATACACAATTCACTATAAACAATGCTCTGATACCAATCTGTCACACCCCAAAACCGGAACGGCGGAAACGTTCGGGGGCGGAGGACGTCATGTACAGTATCACAACAATGCATAATAATAAACAAGCAACAACATCATCCATTGCATTAATAGTATAATTTTAATACAAGTGTGTTCTGAAGTTTATAAGACACCAAAAATGAATAATCATAATAAAGACGAGTCTTGAAAGCTCCGTCTTCTCAAAACCTGGTCACCGGTACCTGTCTACTGGCGACCTGAGAATACAAGTTATTTTGAAAGCATAGATCAGCTTTAAAGCTGGTGAGTTCATAAGTATTTTAGTGTCAATGTTTGTATAAGTTTGAAGAATGTACTTGTAAATGTTTGATGTAAAAGTTTGTAAGTGTTCGATGTAAATGTTTGTAAACTTCCTAGAAAATCCTATATTTTCTACTAAAGTAGTCTTCTACCAAGACTCAACTGTTCTCTATGTTTGTTCTTTTATGAAAGTGTGTGTGTTTTCCCAAAGTATGTCTATCATTACCAAATATAGTTCTGCATTACCGTTCATGTGAGAAGATCACAATATGAATGAAATGGGAAAATAAAGAGGTACTGTAGTTTTATCTAGGTAACTACTATTGTACTAACTACCTTTTAAACTTGTTAGTTAATTAAGGTAAAATGTGATATGATTGTAACCATACTTGATTGACTAGTATAACACGACGTTCGAGACGTCGAAATGATATGACATTCGTCACCTGTAGACCTGAAGGTCCCACTGTAGCTAGCAGCAAGGTGTAGGAGGGTCAGTCCCGTATAGATCTATACACAAATTCACGCTCTCCATCCAGGAGACTCTGGGTACAAAACGTGACGCAGCAGTATATTGCCGAATCATGAAGTAGTATCTCACATTATTGTTATAGTATTCTTGTATTTGTATAGTATGTTCTAGTGTAGTGTATGTTCTCTCTGTCTAGCGTGTAGTATGTTCTCTAGTGTATAGTGTGTAGTATGTATTGTTTCTCGTTATAGTATGAACTGTTTCTCTTTATAGTGAGTATTGTCTCTCGTTATGGTATGCTCTATCTGTTTCTCTTTATAGTATGTTTGAACTGACTCATGTATGAACTGACTCTTGTATGTTTCATTGTTCTAGAAATAGTATTAGTGACTTCCTAAACTATACCTATTATAGTTTACTAGCATTGTTGTTTGTATGAATGAACATGTTTGTACACCTTTGCTACCCAAAGGTATTGAATTAAATGATGAACTTTTATATCTATATACAATACACATAATATATAATTAAGATTCAAACGACCTTCGGACAAACAACCGATACCCTAAGTCCACAACCAAACAAGGAACAGGAAGTAAGGCGAGTTATCAGTCCTAAGTCCTTTCAACCCTACTTATATAACTATATCTATATAGATATGCTTTTGACAAAATATAAGTTGGAAAGAGTTTAATAGAAAGAATTTAACATGTAAAAGAGTTTATAAAACGATTTGAAGCAGTTTGTTTGATAACACAGTTTGGAATGTAAGAAATCCACTTGTTTGATAGTTATTAATCACATGTGATTGATATAATAACTATAATAAATTCTACTTGTATTCCCCCCCAGAAAAGCATTTAAAATCATTTAAAAGATAAGTTAAGGGGTATGAACTCACCTGTAGTGAGTGATACGAATGAAAAATCGATTTGAATGATGCTAAGTGTCAAGTGAAGACTTGAGCACAACGGATCCTAATAAGCATATAATGACACATATATGTATATAATTAGTGTTTAAACAACTAATCATGTAAGGAAACCCACCCTAGGACTTAGTAAACACTTATATTGAAGTGTTAGAAGTACAAAGGGTTGCATCTTAGGCGTTTACGGCCACACTATGGTGTTTACGGCCAAGGTGTTCACGACCCTCGAGTTTACGGCCATAGGGTTTACGGCCCTATGATTTTACGACCGTAAACTCATGAATTCTTGTGCCAAAGAGTGATTTAAAGTCCTTTTCAAGCATCAAGGATGTATTCTAGGTTCAATGCTTAGCTTTAGGGAGTTTATGGCCAACAAATGCACCTTTAACAAGGGTTTACGGCCAAGGGAGATGCTCTTGGCCGTAAACTCCTATAGTTCTTGGGAAATGGATGTTTTCAAGGTGCAAATCAAGGTTTCCTATTAGATAGCAAGTATAGGAAGAGGATAATTACAATATGGAAGCAAAAAGAGTTGATTTCGGCCCAAAACACTAGTGTGTGTTCTTGGTGTTCTTGGTGATCTTGAAGATCAAACCCAAAAGATGAAGTTAATGGATAGAATCAAAGGATGATACTAGATAATGAGATGTATTAACAAAACAAAGGATGAAACACTTACATTTTTGAAGAATAAAATGAAGATCCTTATGATACTTGAGTGAGAAATCAAGTTCTTGAGGTTGAAATGGTGAATAATGAAGAATAAGGATGAAATATCATGTTTAAGGCATGAGTTTACGGCCACCTTGAGTTTACGGCCGTAAACTCATGGGATGTGATCATAAACTCCACATGATGAAGTTTATGGCTTGCTTGGTGCACAATGGACTCAAGCATATATTTCCTAACACTCATTTCTTGGATGTACTAAGCTTAAAACGCTCTAATTGACTCTAAACAATGCTAGAAGATAGCAAAACGAGTCCAACCTTGATTGATTTGGATAACTATTCAAGATAGAAATTTCGGGTTGTCACACTAGTTGTTTCAGTTTTGAGCTTAATGAACATTTGATTTTTAATTCTTGTTAGTTTGATCACCTAGCTAGGATTTAATCATTCCAGTTAATCAGTTAATAGAATCTGTTACTATTCTTGTTAACTAGTAATAAGTAACAAGTGTCATATTGGTTCCGTGTTAGGGATTTAACTCTTATATAAACTGAAATTTCATACCCTTACGCTTCCGAACTTGTGAGAAGTATTGGGTATTGTTGGGATTTTTACACATATCTTAATGCAACTTTTCTGATCTTATTTAAGAGATTGTTTAATTAGATAGTACAAAGTTAGGCTTAACTGAAGAGTTTGTTTTGGTTAATTTAACTAGGTAAAAGAGATTATACTAGGGTTTGTTAGTTTTTCTCAGTACCAACTTGGATAGAATGCATTTTGAATAACCAGATATGGGCTGATTGCATGATTAGGAAAGTCGCAACAGAACCGAATTCGTTTTTATTGGTGATTTCATTTAGTTAATTTCACTACAATTTTTAGTTTTAGTTTTAAGTCAAAAATCCTCTTTTTTATATTTTTCAGTTTTGACTAGTATGTGATTAATGCAAAGAGACATTGACCATTAGGCTGTGTCCCTAAGGATTCGACCCTACTTCTTTGTGTGATCCTTTAGTGCAACCAAGCAGTGAAAATATTATTTTCTTAAATCGTGTGCGACAACGGTTTAAACAGTAGCCCTACAATTTGAAGCCATGATACCCTCTCGAACCTAATTTTCTCAAATCCATCTGGATTTAGCCACTGAAACCATTTCCCCCATAATCATTTTTCCTTTAAAAATCCATTTGTTCTGGTCGATGATTGATAGTACAACATAGCAATCATACCACCAAGATAGTATATATTTATACCTTCTACTCCATAGGCTTCAAGGATCGTTGGAAAATTATAAAGATGCTCCAGACTATGTACTTTTCCAGCCAGAGCCTTCATGACGAACATATCTGCTTTATATTCTTGCACATTAAGATGAATGACCGTAGGGGAGACTGCATGTTGTGAACCTTGTCTACACCTTTGACAACATCAACAAAGGATCTATGGTTTTCTATCCAATCCCTTCCTGATATGTTGGTGGAATGCCTCACAGCTATGTTGCACTTGATAATATTGTTTCGTTAGTTCACAAATTCGAGTTTCCTTCTAGTGCCTTGATATCACCTATCACTTTGAACCTGATGAAGGCAAAGTTGGAACCACTGGCATCCTTTTTTCTCGCTATGTATATATCCACCACCTCGCCATACTCCATGAAAACCTCTCTCAACTTGTTACAGTTCGCCCCGTCCGGTATGTTCGTCGCGTAGAACGCCGTGATCATTTGGTTAGCCGGAAGTTTCCATCGTCGAACATCCGTCCATTCACCCTCCTTATTCACTCGACCTTTCATCTTGTCATTATCAAAAATCCAAACCCAAATAATTGTTTGTTAGTTGGAAGACTGGGGAAATATGGAAGACCATGTTATTGGAAGGGTTATTAATCTTAGAATTTTTAATTTTTTTTTCTTCCAAATTGATGTTTGATCAAGTCCAATTTAGTTTTGACGTAAATTGAACTATTACTTTTATAATTTTAACTTGTGGTCTTGATATGAACATGGTTTTTATCTTAAAAATTATAATTTGATTTTTTTAACTAAATTTGTTATTTTTATTAGTATTACTAGAGTAAATATAAATTTGGTCATTTTGTTAAAAAAAAAAAAGAGTTTCAGTCTCTTGACTAAAAGAATTACAAAAATGTCCAAATAGTAGTTTTTTATGTTGTATGAAGTCTATTAAGTTAGGGAAATGTTTAGAAAAGTCTCAAACTTTTGGGAAATACACTTTTATCCCAACATTTTTTTGAACAAACAAACGCAAAAAAACTGGATAAATTGAACATTTCGACCCTTTTTTACCGACAACCCTCATTTAGCCGGTTAAAATTGTTTATGTGGCAAGGAGTTGTTGAGGTGGTTGGTGAGTCATTTAATGTCCTTGTATTAAATGTAAATATCGTGAAAAACTTCATTTGTGCCCTAGCAGACGATGATTGAAGAAGGAACAATGGAGGACCAAGACGAATGTCTTCTTCGTCTTCTTCATCTTCGATGAATCGTCTCAGAAACAGGTGCTACTATGGTGATCTCGTAGGATATGGACTTCATGGACTCCATTAAACCTTGGAAGAAGGTTTATAGGATGCCCAAATTACCAGAATGAACTCAAAGATTGCAAGTACTTTCGTTGGGTGGATCCTGATCTACCAAACCAGTGGTATGCAAATCTCTTATTAGCATTTCATAACAATGTCAATTTGGAGAACAATGGAATATTTGGGGAGTTTGGGTAAGAACAACCAGCTGGGAACTTTTTTGGAGACG